TTCTTTTAATTTAATCATAATAAACCCACCCTTTAGATATAATGTTTTACGAGTTAATAATCTAGCCAAAGAGCAAGGTCTTCTTTTAATTGACTTTTTAGTGATTTGCCTAATGAACCCTTATTAGCTCATTACTCATATCTCAGATGACTTTTATTCATGTTCATTTTTGCCCCTAATATTTTTCTTACATGTTAATGAACAAAACTAGTCTGTTAATACTAGTTCTTAAAAGGAATTGTGTGCCAGTGAAGTAGTATGTTGTACATACAAATAGTTCAATGTATGATAGTCAGAAATGTTTATATCAAACGTTATTAAATACGTAAGAATAGTTTGCCAGTGTAATTTTGGCAGTGAACAAACCGTGGTATAAAACTTTGGTGTACTGTAACTACATATTGATTATTAGGAGCACTCGCTAATAGGATCTTGAATATGTACATACAACAGACTGCTACGAACCACTAATAAAATAAGTAATATCAGAATTTTACGGGGTTCTAGTTGCATAAACATTGCAGTTCTAATTAAAATATAAATGTTAACAAGAAAATCAGATGGACTCTAAAAAATTATATTTGTTCGCTTATTCATTCATGTTATTTAGACAACCAAGTATGGAATCATTACTAATCTAACCTTACAAAACTGTTTGCAAGAGCATCCACTTAAACGGCTAAGGTTATCCGCAGTTTCATTAACTTTGTCGTGTTCAGCATTTTTTATCATTTCTTCGTCCATTTAATAGGCAGCTGCCACATATGTAAGGGTGAATTTGATTAGAAATGTTATTTAGGAGCATAAAGTTTACCACATGTGTGCTCCTATCCTCTGCGACAGAGAAAGCTACATCTAAAATATTCGTAGCTGGAAGGTGCAAATAGTTCTACCAATCAAAATGAATTATTTGATGAAAATTAGACCACATTTTTCAGCTATTAACCACCAACTGGATAAAAAATGGCATGAGTTGCTACATACATCAAAAATATTGTGGATACTCTCAGATGATATCGCGCCATGAATGTTTAAAAGGGGCTTAAATAACACCCGTGCATTTGAAAAACTCCTGAAAAGTAATTCGAAATTAAGGTCTAAAACACAAGGTCCGAAGTGTTAAGACCATAGAAGTTGATTTTAGACTACTTACAACAGTAATTATAGTTAACCCTAGTGAAAATATTCCCGGATATTTTGAATTATATTTCTTAGTGTGTGAGTACGACTCTGTTGGCTTTTTATGGTGTAAAAACGTTTACAAGTACGCAATTGATTAGCCGACCAAGATATAACATTTCTGTCTTCAAAAGTGTTATTCGCTATTTTTTTAGACAAAACCAAAATTGTTAAATTAAATTGTATAATTAATTATAACTGAACAAAATAAATATAACAATATTTCTTTTTGGAACACAATAAATTGATCATATTACGTGAAGGTTTGTTATCAACTACAAATAGCCTAAAGTTATAAAGGATAATATGATCATAAACAAAGTTTTGATACATAGTCACTAGTGTGGGTTCGAGCTATACCATTGTTGGTATCCGCTATTAAACTTGATAGGTCTTTACTGGGACGTATCCCGTTCAGATTGCATCAATGTGATAGTTTTATCACAATATATTTAGAACAGACCGATTGTAGCTAGCACTGGAATCCAGAAAGAGCAGTTCATCCCACTTAGGACTCTATAGCTATATATATTTACATCTCGGTCTTTGATATGAACAAAAAGATGACTGAAACGCTTATCGATAATGTGCTAATCATCATAGCTCATAGAACAAATTGCTAGCATTATGAATTCAGCCAGTAGCTTGGTGGATAATGCGTTAAACTTAAATTTATCAAGTAGTCTAGTTGTGTGTAATATATTAGCATTTAGAGTGAAATGTGCTGAATTTGAGTGGTAGAGTGAAAATAAACGCTAGAATGCAGCTACACGCAGCAAATGAGTCTCAAATAGGACAAGAAGCACTTACTAAATTCCAAGGCTAGTTGTATTTTTCTGTTCTAAACATTTCATTTATCCTAATTAATGAGGCTGAGATTATTGTTGCAAAACAAGACAGAAAATCTTAATAATGAGAAAATCCCATAACAAATGCTATTCAATACAGTAGTTAAGGTTGATCACTATTTAGTTTATGTTGAAAATGAAGTCATATAAAGTTGAGAATGAAGTCATCAATGCTGGGTGATAGTCAAAATGAAGAAAACAAATAAGTAATGATACCTTATGGGATAAGAAATGAGATGAAAATAATGTAATGAATGAGTATCAGTGGATAGGTAACAAGAGATTTAAAGTGGGAAAATGTATACATTTTATTCTGTAAGTTTTATTATTTATGTTTTCTCCGAATATGTCAAAAAACTGAGTTATGTGAAACTAGTTGATGAGAATACGTATCAACATTATATTACTCAATTGTTTTCAGTAAACAAACAGCTGTTATTTTTTGATAAGAACACAAAATAATATATTAGATTCTTGCATGCAAAATCTGCTGACGTCGAAACAATTAGGGTTCATGAAGATTATACGTTTGTACATCACTTTTGATGATCTGGCCGTAAGTATTGTGTAAGATAGACTACATTAGTGCAAATGCACCTATTTGTTACCATACTCCAGATTTTCAAAAACCGAATTCCTTCGCAAGAAACCCTTCTTTCTGTTTTTTTAATAATACTGACAATGCTTAGTATCTCTCGATATTACAGTTACCAAATTGTATTATACAAAAGTCAGGTCTAATATTTTATTGAGAATTCTTAATGAGCTAAACATGAATTTCAGCTCTCAGTCGAATTCATATAGCTTCACTATCTAAAACGTTGACATGCAGCTTTCTAAGGATCAATAGTACGAATAAGTAAGTCAAGGTTGATAACAAATAATGGTATACTATACTTCTCTTTTGGCAAAAATGCCAACATATTCTAGGAAAAGTCTTTTTGTTTAATAAAACCATTTGTAAAAGCCAAGTGATCAAATAATATTGGGTTTAAACCTGTTGAGATAACTGTCTTGTAGATCTTCATTTCCTCTGTTATACATGAAATTACTTTCTGCATAGCACACTACACAGACAAAGAAAGGTAAATGCAACATTTGCCAGTATATTTCAGTTTATTGGGTATAATAAATTGTTCTAAAGCTTGCGCCGATATACTACTCTCATTTGTCACCTTTTCACTCCTAAGCATAAATATTTCTAAATTTCGCCTTATGAAGAGATCATTCAACATTTTTGATCATTGATATGAAAGATATTTGATAAAATGCAATTTTCGAAACTAGTATTTGAACTTTAGAAAGTATAGGTGAACGACACTACCACAACATTGTTCTCCATATTTTTAACAACATTTTCTAAAATGTAAGGATATTTCGGTTCTTTTATTCCCATATTAGTAGTTAGGTAACAACAGTTATATATATATATATATATATATATATATATATATATATATAGAGAGAGAGAGAGAGAGAGAGAGAGAATCCACAGAATTTTCTACCAACCCGGCTAATGGAATTAGCAAACAATGTGTCTGCCATACCAATAATACGGAGTTATTTTCTTTATCATCTAAGTTGTTTCGACGACATTTGTGTTCAGAATAAACATAACTTTTAAAAATACAGCTAATTAGACATCAGATTACTGTCAACATAAATCACTCGATTTCAGTGCAATTAAAGCAAAAAATAGTGTTTGGATAGTTTTCTAGACGTGATTAAAAATTGCTGATGTGTGGAAGGGTGTTTTTATAACTGAACTTATTATTGGGAGTGGCAGTTCAAAAAAGGTAACGAGGAAAAATTATGAGTAGGTTTGGGTTTGATCATACAAAATTTTGGATTCTCGATTAAACAACTGGTTTGACATGTTTGGGAACCACGAACTTATGAAGTTGCTAGAAATTACACGATATTTTTGTAAATGATTTGTTACCTATTTACTCTTTTGCATATCTGTTCCTGACTCGGACTCTACGCGACTGAGAATGAACTGTCGTTGTGTCTATTTTTAACAGTAAAATATTGCCACTATCCATTCGCTAACCTTATGATTCGACTGATATTTTTGACCGGAACTTGAGAAACTGAAAAGAAGCGATTGATAACATTGAATTGAAGTAGAAAATTCTAACAGATCAGGGAAAGAATTCGGTAAATGTTTTTGTTTGGATAGCCTCACCAAAACAACAATACTGAATGAAACTGCATGATTATAATACAACTACAAATAGTCGAAGAAGCGATTTAAAGTCATTTCTAGTAGGCAACACTGATTGTCGAAATAATATTTTAGTAACAATACGCTAGTGGTTCAAATCTCTTTTATGAGCTAGCAAATGTTTGACAGAATCCAAAACCGAGGGGTGAAATGAAGAAGGATGACTAAATACGGTTTTATCTGGCTGTCTTTTTTGAAGACGCCCTTTTTTAAATTATTTTGATGATATATTTAAATTAAACAAATACGAAGGATGACTGGATAAAAATAATTTAAAAACTTTACCGATAAATCAAAGACATCTGCATAGAAAGAAAAACATTAAGACACTCGGGTTGTAGTTGAAGGTGACATAACGAAATATTGAGGGTTTTTGCTAAAATTAACCAATCTCAGAAAACTTTTTCACAATAGACATGTAGTAACACCGTTCAAACAAACCACCTAGGTTTTCTGTCAGGTCTATTGCACAGTTTTAGAAAAGTCTGAGACTTCTTCCTTTTGCATGATATATGGCAAAATAAACATATATTTAGATTTAATGGTTCTTGAACCTCTTTGAAATTAAGTGGACAAAATGAAATATTCGAAATACAAATTGTTATCTTTGCTTTGCTCATTATTTAAAAAATTGAATTTATTCAAGACAAAAAACGAAAGACACAAAACTAAACTTATCCAGGTAATAATAAAGGAGACAGAGTTTTTACCCAAACAGAAATAGCATTTTGTAGTGTTTTACATACATTATCACAGCGATATTCTCCCGACTACACCTAGATTCGTGAATGAACTTCGCACCAGCCTTGAGGTTGCTTATGCGTAACTCTTCACCTGGTTTCTGAAGCTCAAGGTGTTTCCAATGAGGGTTCTTTACAAAAGTTATAAATTAGAGAAAAATTAACATACAGGTTTCGCAGGCTTTTGAGTTGACGATAACATGCACGTTATCTTTGCTTTCTTTAAATTAGAATCAGTTGTTGCTTCACCATGGTCAACTATGTATAAGTAATTTAAAACTTTTCCAAAAGCTGCCCCCATGATCAAAACGCTTATTTGAAAAAGTTCTGAAACACCTTGATCAACAAAGTACTTTTTACTTATTTAAAACAGTGATTTACATTGAAAGTTGTCTTAATACTATTTTTTGCTAAATGATGGTTTCTAACTTAGTTCAAAACAAGTAATTTATTCAGAGGTCTGTTATTAATTTATGCCTTTATGACAGTATATCACGAGTTATTATATTTATGACGTATCGTTTTTAATGTGTAGGTAAGATATGGTAACAGTTTTGGAGACTGAATGTAAGTTGAAAGTCGGTAAAGAACAGGGAACATGAACTGTAGATAAGTACAATATTGGTTCGTATCATTTGCTTATTCAACTTCATCGATGGGAGATTTTATGTAGGTATACATGCAACTGTGTTGTTTTTTAGCTTACCTACTAGCTGAGATGTAGATACGTGGGATTTGTGGTCCGGGTTTGTACTTATTCATTTATTTACGCTACAAGAATAATGGACTTCATCTAATGTTGTAAACTTGGTACGATATAAGTGCCAAACACTGATGATCTTACATCAATAATATCTTTAGTTATACTGCTCCACGCTTTCGTAATAGTCGGTAGCACTACATGTGAAAACCTTTGGAAAGCACATTCAAGCTAATAAGAAAGTGATATACTTGACGCAATCGGGTCAGATTTGCTTTAGCTACGACTGATTCAGAAAGTTCGAAAGTTCCATAGTCAACAGGGTAGAGACTACATCTCAAACATAGCCGCCATAAGAATAAGAAATCGAAAGTATAGAAAAAAGATAATAACCTCGGAATGCAATGAATACATGCTACGAACTCAAACAGTTAACTCACGCAATAATGACGAATTTCATGGATAATCCAGATTACCAACACGTTCTGTGAAATCAGAGGTTCATATGGAACCAAAAATTTATCACATATAGTTTTCATTCCCCTTCTTTTACGTGATAACGTTGTATGAGTTGCAAATTAATTCTTCAGATTTGACTGCCTTTCTTGGAATAGATTATTCAGTATTTTTGACATTAGGATGACTCATGAGGCAAGTGAGTAAATGCATGATAACGGGACATAGAATGAGAAAATTGTACTGCACACACACGTGGAGTTGGGTAGCCCAATCGTGGCAGTTCTTCGAATATTCTTATTTCATTCTCTTATCTTCCATTCTCTTACAAACTCTTGTCCTCACACAAAGGACACGTCCAACATTTTAGGTGCAATAATTTGTGGAAAGCAGGTAAATAACGCGAATCGAAATAAAAGTTACAGTATATAACATTTTTGGAGTATCTTTGTGGTTGTCATTGATTTCGCCGGTATAACGTCCAGATAGTGAACGATTTAGCAGTTCTACACTAGGCTGCGCTAAACGAACTGGCATGTTCTAGTGTAATAAATTGATCGAAACTACATTTCCATGGAAGCAAGCTAGTGCAACAACTTAGGTTGATTGGTTATGAGTCGACCGAAAACATTATAGCCCAAGTACTCATTTACTTTCCCATTTTGTGCAGGCATTATATTTCCTATTATTTTACACTGAATGTCAAAACTTTGTGTCTAAAAAAGGCGAACCTCACTTCCCTACTTAATCGACGTCTAGTTTGGCCTCTATGGTTACACGAAAGGCATCTACCGACACGAAAATTTATCTGGAAGCGTATATCAATATACACAAATGAATGTTATAGATGTGATCTATGCACTATCATGAAAGACCGTATTTTGCCCACAACATTGCTTAAAGCAACTATGAGCATCGACTCACAACTGAGGTACTTCGATCTAAATTGCCACAACATGCTCATACATTCTCGGGATTTTTCAGTAAGTTTGAGAGTTTCCGATGGTCCCTTAACTCTGGACGTGTAATTAAAAATGAGATTTGTGCTACACGTACTAGTTAAAAATCGTTAAGGCCACTATAGTGTCTAACACTATTGTCAAGCCCACAGGGGTTATCCTAACTTCCAGATAGACCAATTTATTTATTCTTCTTGAGTCGCAATTTAACCATGTCGTTTTTTGGCTTACTAAACTTGACTGTTGTAATGTGAGCGTGTTTGTATGTGATGCTTACCCTACTATTCACATGTCTGTACCAGATTTTTGTCTGGCTACAAATACTGAGTCACGCTTGATTAGAACGGGTTGGCCCACTCGCATTCTCCATTTCGCTTCGCTGCTTTTCATTTTGAATGTCTGTCCGGAACAAGGACTTTGAGAAATATACGTCTTCAACATTTATTCTTGCATTTGATTTATTTTATTTTTATACTCTAACGCCGACTTGATAATTATGTGCGAGAGTAGCTAGGATGTATATTTTGATGACATCATCATACGTTCACATTTTAATCAGAATGAGAGGCAATAAAACCATGTTAAAATCCTCTCCAGCTGAGGAATGTTTGATCGATCACTCTCTGTCCAAAAATGACGTTTAAGTCTACAGAAATCATATTAGATCTATGTGGTGTGATAAAATTACTGGAAAGTAATAAATAACGTGGAGGTTTTACCGAGCTATAACGGAACCGGTCCAGCAAAAAGAAAATCTCAAAAGTTATCCATCCGTTACAAATGCATAAATGCTAGAAAGTCAAGGCACGATACAATCTAGTAAACTACTTCGTTCTGTTCAACTGTAGAATGTTCAATTGAACCCTTCAAACTAAAGACATAATTTCAAACAGGGTTGACTCATGCTTTCAGAAGGCTGATTGCTGGACGTTGAATGACTAACGCATGTTTATCAGTCAATGATGAGGATAAATACACGCAGCAGTTTTTTCACAAATCTATAATCCGTTTTACCAAATCTACAATATTATTCTGGTAGGCTCTCATCTCTTCTCCAGATATATCATGAAAATAGAAAAACCTGGCCACAGGTTATGTTGGATCGGGATAAGGTGGTGTAGTTTTGACACAAGATTATCTATGTCAAGCAGTTACATCATTACTTGTAAACCTTAATAGGGTATTGCCAAAACAGACCATTTGAATCCCAGGACTTTGCGTCGGATCATCAGCACACCTGACATTGGTGAACGTCGGAGGGGTTATACGATAGCTTATGTAGTAGCACAGATCTGATGGTTAGAAGCCAAATTTAAGTGTTGTCAAAATGAAGGCACATTTTCATTAAGCGACCAAATCTATGCCGACTTTCAGTCAATCTATACAAAATCTATGAAACTGGAATATACCATAGACCGACGTTAACAGGACTGAAAATGTCCTAATTTTTGAAAGTTGGTAAATGACTGAGCATCGTTCGGTTACAGCTGCCAGCCAAAGATTCTTTCGCCCTAGATTTTTTTCAACTATAACCCATCTGGAAAGGAAACACCTCAATGACTTGACACACTACACCGAATCTTCGACTACCTGCTAGCAACGCATAACTGGAATGAAAGGCAGCTGGCTAAAGCTTGCATTGCCAGAATAACGAACACAGCTACACTGAGGAAGCCTTTGAGAAACCTCTGGGAGGCATTCCGACACATTAGGTTCGCCATTTATGTTTATCTTCATAATTTCGACACTGCCAAGCCATTTATTAAGCATTGATTAAAATCAATTGACCAACACACATTTTAATTGGCAGCAGCTACTGTTATACACACCTACATAATATATTTCGAATTCCTGAATACAGCGCTGCCGTAGATACTTGCCGCATAAATCGTGAGAACGAAATTACAAGAATGACCGGCCATTCCGGCACCATTTCATAACGCGACAAAATTTTGCACCTTCTAAAACAATACATTCATTCCTGTATGTCATAACCTTATTCATATTCCCCAACCATGTTACAGCTTTAAAATATTAAGACGGAACTCTCTAACTGACCAACAGATTTATTACTTTGAAAAGATCACGACTAAAAGAAAATGAACATTTTGAGAAAAATAAGCAGAGAGAAGGGGAGAACATCAAGAGGAAACATTAATTCAGGGTCTAATAAATTAAGTCTGAAATAATGAGACCTTATTAGTGAATATAACTTCATACAGTGTTGAGGATGTTAATTACACAAAGACACCATGTTAAAAAAAATAAGGACGATACTATTGTATTTGATGTAATACGGTCACCATTGATTGAGAAATTTTTGATGTTTATTTTATATCAATGCCATACAATAAGTGATTTACAGTATCTGCATAAGAGAAAGGGTTTGGACAATTAGTCCGTCGAAAACGAAAGTAATCTACAAAAGAAAATTTCAAAAAGACATTTTATCGAATTGGGACACAATATTCATTGGCAGTGTTGTTATGTGAAAGTATACAATTATATCCAGGTATAAAAAAGAGTCATGACGTGGCAAAATGTTTTAGGAGGATAATTTTGAAAAATTCTTACTCAAAATACCATATACACGTAAGTAAATTGCTATTACTTCAAACACAAAACAGACTATTTGATCAAAATGATACGCGGACAAATAAAGATCAGTCAGACAGTTATTTGCAATCAGTATAGATTCACATAATTCGTTCCTTTTACATAAACTTAAACAAAGCAAGAACGATCACATTTACAGAGTACAATGAATTCACTGTATTTTGTTGTTTACCATTCAGCTGCACCCAATTATCAACATGATGTTGGACAATGAATTGTCAATCAATAGCAAATAAGTTGTGTGTAATATGAGCCTAGTACAGCACAGATATACATCAACATAAGTTGCCATACAACATAATCAAACAAGAGGGCTCCAAAACTGAAGAAGTACTTGATCAATAGAACAAGAGAAATAACTACCAAGCTGAATCAGTCAAAGCAAAGATGAAAAAATGAAAACGACATTTTTCCCACAGAGATATATACAACTATATAGCTTTGATAAGTGTTGATTTACTTTAGGTATTTGAGATATATTCAATGGTAACAGTTATGTGAATGGACTTAACGTGTGTGTGGGGGGGAACATTTGTACGAGCTTAACTAAAATCAATATCTGATTATCAT